CTGTTATTATTTATTTATTATTATACACACGCGTGTGTACGAATATTCCCTGTATCTTATTTTCTCACGATCAGCTAAAAAATTACCTACTTCTATGTGTCCGTTAATTAACTAATTTAATTGGTAATCTCCGACTTCACCGGCGTTACGGTTCCTCGTCATATATCACAATTACCTAGTATTATCGTGTAGAACGATTATTATACGAGCTTCGCAAATTGTTATTCTTCTTCGTTTCCAACGTGGCCGCCGCGGCTCGCGTCGCGTTCGCGAAAAAATACAATCGACGCTTATAAAATTGCATTGGTAACGAACTTTACGGGTTTGAGAAAATTTGCATCGATATGCCGATAAAAGCTTCGCGAGTTAACGGTTGAAACTAAAGTTCGCTCGACGAACGACGAAACTTAAGAGGCACGGAGCTTTGAACATTTCGTTTCACCGTCGAAGAACGGAAGAAGAACGACAATATTGCGGAAACGAATTAAAAGAAGACAGTGGCGAAGCGATTTCGAGGAAATTATATAAGCTTGTCGACGAATGAAAATTCAATTCCGTGTTTCCTTCTTTTCAAATGAATTTAACGGTTTCGGTAAATTAAGGGAAATACTCGTCTCCGGTTTCGATGAAGCGAAATTGCTTTTGTTTTTAATCGAGATTTAAATGAGCGAATATTAATGAATTAATGGATGCCTTAAAATGAGAATTCGCGTTGTTCGCTTCGTCAACTTTATTTCTTAATATTCACAGCTCGATCACTTAACTATAATTAATTATCATTAACAATATTAGATGTGATCGCATAAGAATCATCTTTATTGCTGTTGTTTCGTGCATTGACTGGGGATTTTATGAGAAATGGCGCTGAGTAGCATAGTAAAGGCTTAATATTTATACACGATTGAGTTATGAATAGCGTATACATTGTAAATTTCTAAATGGTACAACGCAATTTTCATCGTCAACGCTATGACCTATGAAAAATTGAAATTTGGCAACAAGTTCTTGTGTAAATGAAATGGCTCGTAAGAGAACGAAATGTTAATGTCAATAATACAACGGAACAGAATATATGAGTTTTAATATTAATATAGGAATTGCATATTATTCATTATGATTAAAAACAATTTATACAGTGTCTATGGAAATCTTTTAATCCGAAGGTATTTTTTATAATCGCGAGTCCCTACTTAAACGATACAAGTAAGACTATATGATCATTCAATGTTCAGATTGAGTTTGTTAGATGACGTAACGATAAACATAATTTTTAATTAAAAAAACTCTAGACTTGGAAACAAAGTATATAACTCTACGTGATATTACCAAAATATTTATATATTTACAAACAATCGTAAGCTTAAAGATGTGAAATAAAATTTTCTTTTCGATTGAATAAATAAATATATTGTTTTATAACACAAACAAAGAATTTTTCGATTGCAAAACATTGTGAATTTGTTTCATCCCAGATAAAAAGATAAATATTAACGTCTATGGTACAATATTCTGAAATCAAACACAACAGGAATCATAACCTCAATTTTGTTCGCTTCGTAACACGTATAAGAAGAAACGTCTACAATGAAGCTTGTAAACGTCTTGTTTGGTCACGAATCAAATTACCTTGCGCAATAGAAACAACTTGTGTGCTCGATGAAACATCATTAAAACACATAACATTCAACAAACGGAAAGTTCCTTCTAATTGACATGTGAGTTTACGGTAGGATCGTGAAAAGATGGGGCAAGTAAATAAATAAACAGACACAATAAACAAAATAATCCGTGAATTTATTAAAAATAACACAGGAAAGAATAAAAGAAATGACAAACAACAAATCAGGACAATGAAGCCGCACTAACCAGTTAGGACGATCGTC